TTTCTTTGCTTGATAAAATGAATCGACATATAGTTTCATAATTTTGATCTGACCAATTCGTTCAAGTTACCGAAACATTTATAGTATTTTCATATTGTAGAAGATATGTATTTTATGTTTCAAATTTTTATTTGTTGAGTGGTTAAGGCGTAACGATGGTACTAACTTTTGCCGCGGGTTCCGTAGTGTCGTGCTTGCTAAATATATTTGTTACTTCCACACTACCGCTTCCAATTCAGCCACCCCGCCTAGGATCATCTTCTTGAAAATTCTTAAAGATATCCAATAATCTTGTAGGTGACCACTTTCTCCCAGAATAGAATCTAATCGGTTCTACTGGATCATGTACGTATTAGCATTTTGATCTGACCTCGAGTCCTCACTCTTTTTAAAAGCAAAGCTATAAACGAGATTTTTAAGTATCATATTTGCGGAGAAAATATGCAATACAAAGGTACTCCAATTTATAAAATGCCGCAAAATGAACAAATATAAGATATTGCTCTACTTTGGTTTGTACCTTTATTGACAAGTTCGATTTTTCAGCGTATGTCAACTCTTTACCGTCGGTTCACGCAAGTACAATTTGCGATATGTAGGGAGTTCAGGATATGACCATTGAATTTATATATATATATATCACTTTTACGCTAGTTGGTTGTTATGCAGTTGAAATTCATAGGACTGATTTTAAAAGGGTAGGACTGCAAGTTGTGGCCGATAAAACCCTGCTAGTAGAATGCAATAGCTAACACCGCCGAGCTCGTTCAATATCGTTTCCTGTTTCAACAGAAACTAGCTTGTATGATATTTTCGTCTGATATTGACGTTTCGGTTTATTTCACGCGAATACTCACCAACCTTATCCGTTAAGCTAAGTGATTAGTAGAGAAGTCAACGCTGATCACAGCATTTCAGTAAACCCTCCACCTGCTGAAACATATTTACTTGTACTCTATATTAAACAGTATCTCACTCTATTTAGCGTTCGTTGTCATTTACAGTTATGCTCTCCGCCGAGATTGTCTCTAAAAGGTAGGGTTGGAAGTTGTGACCGATAAAACCTGCTAGTAGAATACAATAAAGAACACCGCCGGTCTCTTTCAACAATGCTTCCTGTTTCAACAAACACCAGCTTGTATGTTATTTTCAACTAATATGGACAGTAATATGCGTTTATATATATATATATATACGTACATAAATACGTACATACACACGTACATACATATATATATATATATATATATATACACTATATTATATATATATATATATATAATATATATATATATATATATATATATATATATAATATAAATACACACACACACACACACACACACACACACACACACACATATATATATATATATATATATATATATATGATGTCATGAGGTGCAGTGCAAAGCGGATGGATGAAATATTATAACTATATAACGCTGCCCACTATCAGTTGACAAGGAGGTTTCGTGCCTATTGACACGTGCCCGGAAGCGTGAAGGTCTGCAACATTATACTATAGCTAAACAATGTGGCGACTCACACAACATACAACAATGTGGCGACTCACACAATATACAACAATTCGCATACAAAGTAGTTGTACTCATCAATTGTCATCTAATATTTATTTGCGATGTAACTTGTTTGATCGTAGTCCAACGTGATCTCTATAGTGCTTCAGGAAACATACGCAATCTCACATTCATTATTCTTATACCGAATAAATTCCTACATTTTTCTTACTAAGAACATATTCACGGAATTTCACATCTCAATGGCTGTATATTGTGACACGCTGGCCTGAGTAGAATGGCCACTGTATATATCTTAGTTGCAGCTATCAATTGTGCAAGTTTTGCTCGTCGAGAAGATCATTTTCGTCGTCTGGTTCATCCCAGCCATCATGCTCGTTTTCGAGGTTCACATCGCTTTCATCACTTGAGACTTTCGCACCTATTGTTTAGATACCCCGCGTGCATATGACAATAGTAAACAATACTTATACTTAACCCTGATCAATTGTTGCAAATGTCTGACAAAAAACAAAACAAAACAAGGCGAGACAACTGAGAACAACGATAATCGTACCAAGCTCCAAATCGAGTTCGTCGGTCAACGCGGTCTGGAGGCTGTCATGAGGGCCTCTAAACACTTTCAACGCTCCGTGAACAATTCTATAGAACCAGAATAAATTCAGTGCTAAAATTGCGACAGCAAAACCACCACAGCTAATAAGCTCTAGTGTCGAGCCGAATGCGGACGCCCCTGCCTGTAACAATACAGAGTTTAGATTTTTGTTGAGGATGTTGATACAGCAGATAAAGTTAGAAAGCATTGAAGCAGAAGTAATGACACATAAAACGTCAGTGGAAAAGTGCACATTTAATATTATTGCTTCTGTTTTCCTCAGCCGTAGAAACCATACCAAGGACAAAACAACGACAATGTAAGTGTTGCCGATAATTCTGAAAACGAAGAAGACTCCCGCGAAGGTCAACGAATTGTAGGTAGCCAGCTTGCCATCCTTTTCGATACCTAGATCCTTGAAGAAGTGAATCTGGAAAATATAGAATTGTACTCATTACATGAATTAACTAGGTGAGTTTGTCAATCTAATTTGTGGTTTATGTCAATTCTGAGTCAATGTCAAATCCTCAGACCGAATTCATTGCTTTTTAATTATGCAGCAGGCGGGTGGAGTAAGTCAGCCAGGTGATAGAATAGATGCACTGGCTGCCATTCAGGCTCAAAACAAATATAACAATGACCGGTGGCCAACCCAAGTGGAGAAAGGAACGCAGTTCGTTTTTGTAGTAGTGTGCTTACATTGTTCAAAAATATCGTCGAAGCCTCATTCATGAGGTATATGCTGGTGGGCAAGCCCCATTTATCGGTGTTCAGAGGGAAAAGAGAGATGAAGACAACCATGGCATGGTGTATAAGTATGGCCGTACCACCGGGCGTATTACCATCGAAATACTGCAAAGTGTGTGTTTAAAGACAAATGCAAGTCAGACATAAACTGTACCATGAGTAAAAGGTACATCTGGACCAAATATAACAAGATGCTTGCTAAGGACCAACATTTTCCAGGTAGACGAGTTGGAAGTGAACAGCGTAGTTTGCATTTCAAAAAGGTATACCGTTGGATGCACTTACCTTTATTGTCAGGAACGAATCAAAAATTGAGTATCCATGGAATATACTTGTAACAAACTTGACTACCACACTGTTCGTTTCGATGGGACTTTCATGCAAATCCGAGTCGAAGAATGCGACTGCACCACCGACAGTTACAACAACCGCGTGAATACTAGACATGATCCTGTAAAAAAAAAAGAGCAATATAATCACCAATCTAAAGTTTCCATTATGAAAGCGCTCAAAGCAATCACACACAAATTTTAGAAGACAGCCTTAATGCGCACACTTTGAGTGGTGGTATATGATGTTGACTGTACAGGGGAGGATAAAATTGTTGAGCGCGCGGACACAAGCAAGTTGGTTGACGATACCAATGCAGTAGTAAGTGCAGTTGAGACTCCCGCATTCCTTGCATGCGATCTCAGTCAGTGGTAAAATGGGCATCCAAGAAGTTTACGAGCAGAATTCAGCACAAACTCAGCCATTCACGACAGTCATGTTTTAATTACAAAATGCAAGAATTTTAACGATAAGCCTGTAATTTCTTTGCACACCTCATATCCCATTGTCGTTGTCCGAATAACGAAAGCCCAGAGTAGATAGGAACGTAGATATTGCACAGATACGCAGATGTTGCGTAGATCCCCAAGAAGCTCAATATAGCACCATAAATCACGGGCATATATTCTAATAAGCCGGAGAGAATCCCATTGATATCTCTGTGAAGAGCGAGACACAGAGTATTAAAACGACGCGGGAAAAACTTGGGGTATCAACTTAAGCAAGGACTGAGATTGATGCCAAAATAAAGTGTGGCATGCGAAGATAAAAAAATCACAAAAGGTTACGTCAGCTGAGTCGTGCTATCGAAAAAATTGTATC